ATGAGACCCAGGAGAACTGCTCGACGGGGCGGGACTCACAGGGCAGCGACTGTGACGACAGCAGCAAGGAGCTGGGGATGCTGGTGGAGCCGCCCGCCACTGGCCAGGGGTGGGTGCAGCCTGGGCCCCACCAGGTGGCCCGGGCACTCGCTTACGCAGTCAGTCTGTAGTAATTTGATTGCTTTTGTGGTCTTTAAATCATGATTACCAAGGTTTTCAAGATTTTTGAAAATCTTATTAACTCAGAATAACTAAAATTTGCAAGGGTCTGTCCTTCCTTGTAAGAGTGATTGTGGATGTCAGATTGCCCGTAGATACTTAGGGAGAATCACGAGATCTTGGGGCGCAGGAGAGCCGGGTAACCCAGCCCGCCGCTGCTGACGCGGATGCCGAGTGATTTATAGAAAGCAAGCTGGCCAGGGGAGGGGTAGCTCACTGGTAGAATGCATGCCTAACACTGGGTTCAGTCCCCAGTACCTTCCTCAGGGAGAAGTGGAAACCTAGCTACTCCCCCCACCCACCACGAGAAAACGAACTCGCCCCGGCCTCGGGTTTGCGTGCCCCAGCACTTAGCTTCTCCTGGTATCCAAAGGTTTTTATGCCTGATTCTCTTAGCTTGGATTTTTCCTTAATTGACTTACTCTGGTGTAATCCAGCCTGTCACCACTGGTTGGATGGAGTGGGGAGAAGTGGATGGAATGAACACTCTACTGAGTTTTGCCTGTACTTTTTGTCCTTTTAGTCCAGATGCCTTCAGCCTGATGACGGCGAAGTCTGACCACAATGCGTCCACGAGCGGCTGCAGGTGAGGCCACCAGAGCGCCCTTGATCTAGAGCGTTTAGAGAGACGGAAAGAGTTGGAGTCGTGGAGATAAGTTTTGGGGGGCCATGTGCCTTTTTTCAAGTTTCTGCTGGAACCCGTTAGTCCACGCAGCTGTCCCCCTCGTGGACCCGGCCGCACCCTTTCAGATGACAGTCCCGGCAGGCTGCTCAGCGCCCCTGATGCAGCCCTGGGCCGGCAGCACCCCCGGCCTCCCCGAGCAGGCTTTGCACAGGCTCTTACTCCAAAGGTCTTATCAGGGAAGCCGCGTCCACGCCGCATACCAGCACCGGAGCCCGACTCCCTGCCTCCCTCAGCTGTCGTGCTGCTTGCATTATGCTCCCTGCGCTCCCGGGAGCTCGCTTTCCATGCTAATCCTCATCAGTGAGAGCAGCCCAGTGCTAACTGGCTCCATCAAACACCTGTTAGCAGGAGGCGTTTTTGCGGGGTCTGTCCTCGCCAGCAGCATTCCCCCAGCAAGAGTCCCACAAGTAACCGCCCGTTATTTGAAACTAACAGCTCTCGCTGTGACCATTTTGGGCTTCCTTCTGGCCCTGGAAATCCACCTTACCACACAGAACCTAAAACTCAGTTACCCTTCAAACCTCTCCTGATTCTCTCACCTCCTAGGATGACTTCCCCCCGTCATACGCCGTCTCTCCCCAGGTTTAAACTCGCCAGCAGCCTGAAATCAGCAGCATTATTACCAGACACAACTCGACTAGAAAATGTCTTACCAAAGTCTACTGCCCAGATTCAAGTAGCATCCTCTACACTAGCCTCAGACCAGAAAGGCCTGATCAGATTGCTTCCCCTCATTCCGCATCACCTTCGCCCCAGGCACAACTGCTTAGTTACCACAGTAACCTCACGAAAGCGCTGCAGCGGCCAGCAGGGCCAGCCGGCAGCAGGCACCAGCCAGGCGCCTTCGCCGCGTTCCCGTGGTTCCCCACCGAAAAGCCAGCGTCCCCAGTGTCATAAACTACCCAGCCCCCTGCTCCACTGAACAGTCTCCACCTCGTCATCCTTCAGAACATAAAACACGACTCAGACCTCGCCATTAGCCCTGAAAAAATGTGCGCGTAACACAGTCCTAGCAGAAACGCAAACCTCATGATGCTGCCCAGTGGCCACAGCTGCTGTGGAACCAAGCCCTACCGATGCCCCCAAACAAATGAAAGTGCTGTTGCCCCAAGTGAGCCACCAAAACCCATCACAGGTCCACAGCCAGCGCCACCGCTTACAGCCAGCCCAGGTGCACCGTAAACAGGCGGAGGTTTTGAAGAGAAATCTATGAAATAAATTACAAAAATAATACACACAATACATGCCACGCATGTCATCATTCTTCTCACGTGGAAGCTAACCACGGCCAGCGACATGAAAAATCATCATTGTATTTCAACTGTAAGAACACTAATAACCAACATCCGGAAACCACACCAGTTGATTAAATTTAGACAGTGCCCTCATCAGTCTCCCAGCCCATCAAACATCTCATCCTGATGACATCCCGGCTCCTCGTTGGGCATTTGTTTGGTTCTACAAAGCTTGGCAGGATTATTCCTAGCGAAACAGATGCCGTAACTGCCTTCTCACCTGTAACGTGTATTTGCCAAGGTGTAAGTTACGGGTGAATCATTCAACAGCTACACGCAGACAGAGCTTCCATGTTCTCTATCCGCCTGTTCGCCCCCGTAGGACGAGGCTCCCATTACAGGTCCTGTGTGTTTCTAGAGACACGGAACATTGGAATCAGCTGTCATCTACAGTGATAGCTCCCTCACTCATAGGTTGTGTGTTACCCGGAGGACAGATGTCCCTCGTGTTGGGGGAGTGACAGCCATCACCAGCCTCCTCTCAGCAGCCCCGGCCATTGGTACCTCTCTAGTCGAATGCGTCTGGGGTGGCTTTTCAGCACATACAGCGGCCCTCACACTTTATGCTCCCTTTCATGATTGCAGCGCGAGCAGCTGTCCCCCCGTTGTTCCTTCACGAAACTGGTCTGATGACCCTACAGGGATCTCATCTGCTGTGGATAAAGTCCCCTTCCATCCATATTACACAATTAAAGGCACCTCGGGTGCTTTAGTACTAGTTCTGGTCTTACTAATGTTAGTTCTGTCCTCGCTCAGTCTGCTGGGAGGCCCAGATAGCTACACCCCAGCCAGTCTCCTGAACACAGCCCCCCATATTAACCCACAGTTGTATTTCCTATTCGCACGTGCAGGCAATGCTCAGGCCCCAGCAGACTGGGAGGTGCGCTGGCCCTCATCCTTTCCTTTTCAGTCCTGGTGTTCATTCCAGCTCTTCACACGTCTAGACGGCGAAGCGTGGCATTTCGACCTCAGCCAGCGCCGGTTCTGAGCACTCGTAGCAGGTTGCTACGAGCAGGTTGCTGACACCACCTGGCAGTGGAGGACAGCCCGCGGACACCTGTTTATTTTCATCAGACAGCGTCTGTCTTACACTTCCTCTTAATGGCAGTGCCAACACCAGCCGCAAGCATTATCGAAAACAGTCTCCTGACTCAAAGCGTCTGCGTAGTATGTTTGTTACCCTGGTAGTAAACGGAAAACCAGAAGAGGAGATTCAGGGAAGAACCTTCAGCCCCGTCCTCAGCACCCAAAGCTGAGGTTCTGCCTAACTATTCCCTGAGTTTTTGTTACGGGACGTTTCCACAGCCCTCCGGTACTGTCTAAGCGTTAGAATCGCACCCTTTCATCAAAATGGCTGTGAATCCTGCACTTTATATATTCCCACATGCATTTGTACTTGGGTATTATACTGTCCATAATGTATGATACGTATAGTTGTGCGTTAACTGTAAGCCTGCATCTTAGGCATGTGTCTGGAACATTCCTTACTTTTCCTTGGGTGCTTGTAACAAACGTATCCTTAATTTCATATCCACAGACACTTTCATAACAAAATCCAGGTCTCAGTCCTGGGCATGTGGGCACCTGGCCGCCACCCCAGAGACCAGCCCCATCTGTCTCTCTGTGTCCTCTGCTCTAAGCAGGCACACCTCCATCTTCAAGTGCCCACTGTCCTGCCTTCCTCCTATCTCTGTATCCTTGAGTTTGAAGATCCTTCTTAGAACTCTTCTTTCACCTCCGAGGTCTTCCCGTGTTGTTCACGTCCTTGCCCCAGGAAGCCACTCTGCTGTCCTCCAGGGTCTCCACGTCAGCCCTTCTGTATGTGAGATGGGGAAGGAAGGCGCGGCCCAGCAGTGCAGTCCCCAGACTGCGGGTGGGCCAGCCGGCCTTGCTGTGGCGAAGCCAGCTTTCGCCCTGGAGGGAGAAGAGCCTATGTATAGCTGGAGGGGCGCCTGCAGTGGCCACCTGGGCAGAGCCCTAGTTCTCGCCGGGCGGCTCCTCTCCCTGCAACAGACGCCAGGCAGTGTCTTGAGACACTTTTAGTTGTCACAACTGGCAGGGGAGCTGCTGACCGTCCTGCGTTTCCCACCAAGAGCACGGGGACTCAGGTGTCCTAGTGACCTGGTGAAGAAACTGGGCCAGAGACACGTTCCTTCAGAAAAGGGCACTTGGGGCCCTGCAATCAGGTGTCTCTGTCTTTCACTCCGCAGCAGCGAGCAGTCCACCAAGGCGGACGCCCATAGAGAGCTGATCAAAACCCTGAGGGAGCTGAAGGTCCACCTCCCCGCGGACAAGAAGGCCAAGGGGAAGGCCAGCACCCTGGCGACCCTGAAGCACGCCCTGAGGAGCGTGAAGCAGGTGAAAGGTGCGTCCCCCGTGCTCGTTCCCGCCTGGAGGAGTGGGTTTCAGGCCTCCCCAAGTCAGAGCTTAGAGTGTGCTGATTTTCTAGAATTCAACCCTGAATAGCGGAAGGAAATTCTAGAAGTCTGATGAAATCTCAGTTGGTTGGAAACCTCAGTTCATTGGAATTTTCTATCGTACTTCTAGAGGAAAAAAAGCAAGTGGAAAACCAGCTGATAAGAGAAAGCTATCGACAATGTGGAGGTCTGTGCTTTGGGCTGGGGTCAGGCCACGCCCCCCCGGGGGTGTCCGGCATCTTCCAGGCTCTGGCCGGAGAGCTGCGACGCAGCGGGGCTGGGGCACGAGCAGCTTGGTAGAGTTGAACCGGGACAGCCCCTGAGGGCTGCGCCCTCCTGTAAGAGCAACACGAGGAGATTCGAGGAGAGCGTTAGCACACCATATCCCTCAGGGGCAGTATTTTAGATCTGCTCCAGACACCGGGCACTTCATTTCTTGTTTTTCTAAAAATGTGTGAATGTCCGTCCTGGAAGTCTTTCCACCAGGCAGGCAGGCAGGGCTGGGCACCCCCTCCACCCCAGGCACGCCCTAATGGGACCTCCGTGACCCAGATTCAGCTTCCAAACTGTGAGTACGTCTGAGTTTTATTGTTAGAGGGAAGACCACGTAAGAGTTCTAGAACTGGTCGGTGGACCAGGCTAAGGCCACTCCCAGAGATTCACGTGCAGAACTTGCTAGGTGCGCTGCGGGAATCTGAACAAACCCTGCAGCTTCCAAAATGGTTGCACCATCAAGCTTGGGTGCTTTACGCTTCATTAACATCCAGTAGCGTTTAGTCTTCTTTCAGTTGCTACTGTGACTGGACCTTCCGCTGAGCTGGCGCCCCCTCTCTGGGTCTCAGGTAGCCGCAGGGGCCTCTGTCTCCAGGACAGGCAAGGAGCCTCCTGCCCTGGAAGAGGCGCTGGCACTCCTAGCGAACTCTTCTGCAAACAGCCCGTCTCCAGGAGTTCAGGCCCAGGGCCCCTGCGCCTGGGGTCTCTCAGGACAGTTTAGCCGCAGGAGTCCGTCAGCCTGGGCTCCCCTCACCCCTCACCTCTGCTGGGGCCAGCTCAGCCCCGGCCTTGTCACCGGTGCGGGACGTCCTACAATGAGCGGCCCTCGTCTTCAGTTTGTTCCCAGGGCTGTTCCTTGTGCCGAGCGTTTCTAAGAGCCGATTCTGCCCGGACGGGAGTGTCCGGCCACCAGCGGGGCAGGAGCAGGGGCTGCCACAGCCGTCCTCCCTGGAAACGCTGCTGCTGCGTCACGTTTACAGGCCTTGTGGGGAGAGTGAGGGTTGGGTAGAACTCTGTGGCCGTATTATTTAAAATAATGTGTTTTTATCATTTAAACAGTTCTGTAGTCAAAGACCTTCTGATTTTCCAGGAAAGAAATCCCAATGTCTGTCTGTTTAGCCTTCACAGTCTGTGTCCTGTGCTCTCAGTGTCCCGGGAGGGGGTCTCCATTGCCCACTTCTCATGAGAAAAGTCGTGCCCCCACACGTCAGAGTTAGGAAGCACCCTCAGTCCCTGCCCGGTCTCCCCGCAGCCACCGAGGAGTATTACCAGCTGCTGAGGGCCAGCGAGAGCCACGCCTGCGGCGCCGACGTGCCCTCCTGCACCGTGGAAGAGATCGAGGGCGTCACCTCTGAGTTCATGGCGAACAATGTGGTGAGTGTCTTACACGAGTGATGTCTTCACCCAGGAAGCTCATTTCCAGTGGCCGAGGTCTTCATCCAGGTGAGCCGGCTGAGCCCCGCAGCCAGCGGCTTCATAGCAGCGGAGATTGGAGTTTCAGGACATTAGTTCCTTCCCTTAAAAAAAAAAGAACGTAAAGTTGGTGATTCAGAAGAGGTGGGCGTCCTGCAGCCCACCCCCCACGCCCAGTGTGTGGGAGCGAGCCCCGCCCTGACCACGCGCGATGCCAGCACGGGGAGGGACGCACGAGGGGGCCGTCAGCTCACCTGCGGTCAGGGTGCCTGGGCTTGCCTCAGCTTCGTGAGGCACCAAACACTCACGCATTTTTAAGTAGCCCATAAAAGCAGGGCCCACCGGAGGTCTGTAGAGCTGCATGAGTTGCCCCCAGTTCTCAATTAGTGAGAGCAGATGTAAGGGCAGTGGGGGTCCAAAGAGGCCGGAGTCGCAGCAAAGCTGGCCCAGAGAATGGGGCTCCCTTCCCCTTCCCATCTCCTCCTTCCAGTGCCCCCACTGCAGCCTAACCACCGGGAGCCCCGGCCCTGGACCCAGACGGCCAGCCGGCAGGGAGAGAGCCTATGCTGGGCCAGAGGGACCCGAGGCCCCCAGCTCCCCGGGAAGCCCCTGCATCCTCAGAGAGTGAAGGGCTGGCAAGGTTCATGGTCGACAGAGAGAGAGGGAGAGGCCCCTGCCACCTCCTGAATTACCCAGGCCAGGCACCAGGGAGCTCCGTGCCCAAGAAGGCTGAGCAGCAACACATGTAGGGAACCAGCACAGCTGGGGTTCCACTGCCAAGAGGAATGTGTTTTTTCAAATAATATCCCATTTGGACACAAGTATGTGTAGGAGAGTAAAGTAGAGTTATTCTGGTCAGGACTGAGGAGAGGGGCCCACAGCCTCCCGGACCCTCCACTCATCCAGCTCCCCCCACACCCGCCTGCCCAACTCCCAGCCCCTCCTGCCTGGCCTCACCAGGGCGGCGTCCTCCCTTCCAGGATATGTTTGCTGCAGCTGTGTCCCTGGTTACTGGGAAGATCCTGTACATCTCTGACCAGGTCGCCTGCATCTTTCACTGCAAGAGGGACACCTTTCACGATGCCAAATTTGTGGAGTTCCTGGCGCCCCACGACGTCAGCGTGTTCCACAGCTCCACCACGCCCTGCAAGCTGCCGCCCTGGAGTGTCAGCCGTGGAGCAGGTGAGGGTCCCTCTGCGCAGGCAGCAGGGGACAGGGACTCCTCCCTTCCAGGTGAGGGCCAGGTGGGGCCCCCCCAGAGGAGACCGGCAGTGGACCCACCCAGAGGGGCCAGTATTGCCTCTGTGTCCCAGATGAAAGAAAAACATTGCTTGTTCAGAGTCAATTTAGCGAAAAAATTCTTTTCACGAATTTCCAAGAGGGAAAACTGTTTCAGATGATTTTGAGAAACGTTAGGCACTTTAGAAAAGAAGTTGATCTGAGAAGCCGAAGCCTAGACATGAGCCTGCAGGGCCTGGGTAAGGACAGGGGCGCATCTGGAAGACAGTCGGGGCACAGGCGAGGTGCCCACCTCCTGTGGGGGTGGGAGGATGTCAGCGGGAAGGGGAGGCAGCTGCGGGAATACCGACCACGTGTCCTCCTGGGCTCAGACTGCGGGCTTTCCAGGCACTTCAGGCTCCTGTCTGCGCCCAGGCGGCTGCCTCCTGGGGCGTGGGGCATGTGGGTGTGTCTGCCGTCTGATCTGCGGCGCCCCCGCCCCCCTGCTCCTGGCCACAGGGCTCTTCCTCCTCCAGCATGGTTGGGGAGACTGAGTCTGGGAGGCTTGGAAGCTCTCTCGTGACCCGCACAGACCTTCACAAAAGTGGGTGCAGGAGGGGCCTAGTTGACAAGACAGTCCCAGTGGAAATGCAGCTCAGGGTCCTGCAGAAGGTAGTGGAGAGGGCAGGGTCCCAACCAGATCAGGCCTCTCAGTGACCAGGGCGGCCAACAGCATGAGTCCTACAGCATCTGTCTCCCTGCCCCTGGATGTGGGCCCCTCGTGGGCTCTGACTGCTTGGGGCCGAGATGGAGCTGAAGAGAAGCATGAAGGAGCCAGGAGAGGCAGGCAGGAAGGAAGCAGGCAGGGCTGGGAGTCACACCAGACAAACCTCAGTCATGAACCTGACTGAGAGCCGCCCCGGCCACGTCACCCAACACCGACTCTGGTTCATCCTTGGCTCCTCGGTCTGCCTCCCTGCTCACATCCAAATGCTCCTCAGCCCACCGCACCGCCTCCCGGATCCCAGGTCCCTCACGTCCATGGTGCTTCCCGCCTCCCCTGCGCTCGGGCAGCGGGGGCGTCACTCTGTCACAGCCACTGCCCCACAGCTGTCCGTCCCCAGCAACAACCAACAAGGGCCAGAGGCGCAGTTTGCTTTAGGACTGACGCATAAAAGGAGGAGACGCTCGCTTGGGCTGCAGGGTTCTCCCAGAGCCCCAGCCCGAGGACCGGGCAGTCAGGGCACTGATGTCTGCAGCGGACGTTACGAGGGCCGCTCAGCGCTCGGTCTGGGCCTGGGAGGGAGCTCCCTCTGCGTGAACAGGCTGGCACTCTCTCCCAGGACGGTGCGATTCATCTTTGTCTGAATACGAAAGGACCGAATGGCTTCTCAGAGGCCTTTCCAGGCCGATCACTTTATATCATTTTCCCCAACCAGTCATTGTCCACCTTTCCTCACTTCTTTCAAGTGAGGAAACTTTATGTGAAAGACCAAAGTCTAAGATTTTTTCTCTAAATGAGTTTATTATGCAACCACCTGTATCATCTCTGGTGAGGTCACCCCATTAACCTCATGTTGTCACTTATTTTAAACTAAGTTAATATTTAGCAAAAGAATTAATGTACCTTTGCAGTGCCTTGAGTTGCTTCTGTAAGAACTGACTATTCCCCAAAATACAGAGGGTGAAACGTTCAGGCTTTGTATGCAAGAATTGTGCATGTCAGTGTGCCTTCCAGAGTCAGGCTGTTCCTGGCTGGTGCGTCTGGCCGTGTCACGCGCTGTTTCAGAAGCACTCAGCTCCGGGCTGCCACCCCTAGAGCTGCGTAATCTGGTGTGTGCCGCACTCGTGGGATATTTCGCTTTAGTCAAAACTGTGATGAAAGGAGTCTGAGCTCAGGGCTCCGCCGGCACCCGGGCCCGTTTGCACACACACCTGGGCTGCCGACCCCGCTGCCTGTGCCTGGCCTGTGCAGGAGCGCTGCCTGCGGCCGTGGTGCGCCTGGAGGAGTGACTGGGGGCTTTTTCTTTCAGATTCTTTTACTCAAGAATACATGGAGGAGAAATCTTTCTTCTGCCGCGTCAGGTAAGCCCAGATCCTGGTTTTCCTGAATTTGGTGGCGCAGACGTTTCATCCTAAGCGCTCCTGCCCTGTTCCCTGGGGCTGGAGGCTCTGCAGCAGCAGCGGCCCTGCCGCACAGATTCCTGAATGTCTGCGGGGAGACACACTTCCGGGGGCTGTGTCTGGTACGTGCACAAGGAGTTGAGACGGCAGGTCAGCCCTGGAGTGACCTACCCGCTCCTCCTGGAGGAGTCAGCCTGGGGAGCCAGGCTTGCCGTCTGTCACCAGGAAAACTGGCCGGTGCGCCCCTGCTGGGCAAGGCGTGTGTCCAGGGTCCGTGAGGACCCCGGGAGCACATGCAGCCTCTGGTTTGTGTTCATTTTTTCAGGGAAAGCCCCATAGCTTTCCCAACAGGTTTTTGGCCCAAAATAGAGTGACGGATTGAGCATCCAGCTGCGGTGTCAGGAGTGATCCCTGGCCAGACACTGGCGCCATCAGGAGTTGGGGCTGGGACCCCACTGTTGGAGCAGCAACCCTTTCCCCAGTTAAAACACCAACTGCTCTAGAGAAGCCCCAGGATGAGCCCCTGTTGCTCAGGCTGGTGACTCTGATTTACCTTCATTGTCACCAGACGTCCACTGGGGACAGAGGAGCAGGGTGGTGGGTCCCCGACCCACGGGCAGGGCAGAGGACAGACCGCAGGCCAAGGGAGCACGTCCAGCTTGGCGTGGGTCCCCAAGTGAGGCGCCTGGCTCTGCAGATGTCCGTACAGAAGAGGACTGCTGAGCCGTCATGGCCACTGCTGGGGTGAGGTGACCAGCAGCAAAGTATGAGTCCTTCTGTCATAATTCCAAGCCTCTTGTCTCATCCTCCTCCGCAGCGCCGGGAAAAACCATGAGACTGAGGTCCGCTACCACCCGTTCCGCATGACGCCCTACCTGGTCAGGGTGCGGGGCCTGCAGGGCGCCGAGGGCCAGCTGTGCTGCGTGCTGCTGGCCGAGAGAGTGCACTCGGGCTACGAAGGTAGCAGCCCACCCGCTCGCCCCTCCCCGCCGCCCGCAGCCCAGGCACGTCTGTGAGGGTAGCTTCTGGCCCCGGCCCATCCCCAGCCCTGGGCCGAGTCCCCGTCCCCCTCCAGACTCAGCACCCACCTTTGTCGCCTGGCCCTCCCTGTGGCTCCATCCACAGCACCTCCCTTTGTCAGTTAAAGGCACTGGGCACTGCCCTCTCCCACCTGTGTCCAGACCGTCGCTGGCCCAGGGGTGCCGTCCCATTTCCCTGGCCACACCTTCTGTCCACGTGGTGAGATCTGCTCTGATGGGCCCGGGCCCATGTCCCTCCTACTCTTGTGCCCCCGGGGCCTCTGGGGTGCAGGGGCACTGCAGCCTTCTTATGTATGTCAGAATCAGAAATATGTGTGAAATTCTTTTCTTTCAGCCCCTAGAATCCCTCCTGAAAAAAGGATTTTTACCACCACACATTCGCCAAACTGTTTGTTCCAGGACGTGGATGAAAGGTAAGTGCTGTAGCACCGCCCCTCCGCCGGCTCCCGCCTCGCGCTCGCGGTCCTGGAGTCAATCCTGTGTCCTTCTCATCAGCAGGCTCCCCACCAGACAGTTTGTGTTTCATCATTATCTTGGTAGTTACTTAATAACTAAATGAAGCTCCGTGAATTTTCACGTCTTTGACACTGAAGCTGTTTGGCTAAAGCTAAGAGTGAACGTTACGTGTGATAATCAACAAAACGTTTACCTGAACATAGACAGTGGAATGACTATAGAATCGCACTGAAACCTCCGAAGCTACAAACACCATGCAGATGGGACACTCGGGCCTGGCGGTCGCTCTGATTGAGCCTGTCTTTATTACCTTGTTTAAACTTACTTCAAAAATCGGGCCCACGAGTAAACGACGGCCCGGCCCAGGCTGCGTGCCTGGGCCAGCGCTGGAAGTGGACCTGAAGACGCCGTCAGCAGGATCCCAGCAGAAGTGCCTCTGCCCCCCGCCATGCCACAGGCCGCCGCAGGGTGGGGTCACCTCCCTACCTTTGCCCGGAGCCACTCCCACGCCCCTCCTGGGTCTCCCACCCAGGGGGCTGTAGCTGGTGCAAATGGCCTTGCTGGAGTTGGGAGCACTGACCGTTCTGAGGGCTCCGGGTTAGCTGGCGTTGGGTCAGGGACCCAGGGTGACTTCTCCAGCTCTTCCTGCACAGGTGCCTGAAGACGCAGAAAATGTGACAGGCTGCTGGCAGTGGTCGGGGAGAGGTCTCCTCGGAAGACACACGGGAAGTGGACCTATGATCAGGACCTCCCACAGCCTTCACCTGGACCGGGGATAGCAGGTGCAGGCCACGGGGCCTGCTGGGAAAGTTCTGCTCGTGGGCAGCCCCGGCCCACCAGCCTCCATCCGGCCCCAGGCCGCTCAGGTGTGCGCTGCCGACCACCTATGGCAGAATCTCCGTGGAGACAGCTTCAAAGTACGGGTTCTGGGCCCCACCCAGCCCTGTCCTAGGTGGAACCTGGAAGCAGCATTCGTGAAGCAGCCCCAGGATAATTTTTATTCCTCCAAAGGCCTAAGAACTTTTGTCCACAGCCACCCCAGGTGCCCACACGTCTGTGAGCAGGAGAACTGCTGAGCCGGCGGTTGTGGGCCGGTAGCCTGCAGATCCTTAGCAGCGGCTGGCGGGCAGCCCGGCCTGTGGAGCCCGGGCGCGCCAGGGCAGGGGCCGGGGTTCCAGCCTCCCCTCTCCCACTCCCCGCCTCCATTCCTCCTCTTCCTCTTCCTCCAGCCAGGCCTTGGCCAGGGCCATCCTGTAATCCTGTCCAGAGGGAAACCAGCGCCCCAGAAGGAGTGGGCCTCAGACAAGGAGGGGAAAACCCCGAGTGGCGCCGGGGCCCCGAGGAAGCTCTGCCCCTCGCGAGCAGGG